TCCCCGCCAGCGCACCTCCCGGGCTCAATGATCCAGCCATCCTGGACTATCGCCTTCGCAGAAGTGATGCTCCTGCCAGACCACCTCCCGGGCTCAACGACCCAGCCATCGTGGACTATCGCGTGCACAGAGGTAAGCTCCTCCCACCCATCGAACAGGTAAGAAACGAGTTCTGACAACTGGAGAAGATGGCAGAGGGAACGCGAGCCACTTCCATCCGGCCCTTCCCGGGTACGTTGAAAACGGTTATTACCTCGTCGCACAGAACGGACCTCCTCCGGCTCCCGTCCGCCGTACCCCTGAGCCCAACCTCCCCCCGGCCTTCGCGAGCTTCACCGCGCACAACGACATGGCGCTGTATCGGATCAACAGAAACAGAAACGGCAACACGGTCCGTCCCCAGTCATCCCGTTCCATGTTGAACGCGGAGGACCGTTTCCAGTCCGCGCCGAACAGATACAGCCCGCCTCCCGCACGCCGTGCTCTGGAGCTCAACGACCCGGCCATCGTAAGGTTCGCCGCGCGCAACGACAACAACGTGCCGCAACGGAGCACGAACAATAGAACCGTCGACAGGGGGGATCTCCGCTTGTCCCGTCCTATAAGCATGGAGGAGCTCTTCAAATCCACACGCTCCAGCCAGGCCAGACAACCACCGACACCGACACCACACCAAGCAGCGGGATCCCCCATGCCACCGGCCCCAGGGCCTCGTTTCGCCAAAACCGCCTCCGGAGTCCCGCCGGCGCCGCAATCCCGACTGCCGGAAGACGGACTGGCTTTTTCTGCCAGGGTGGCAGCCCAGGCAGATGAACAAGCCCGACGACATCTCCTGGAGCTCGAATGTGAAACGAGCGATGAGGTGAAGAGGACGATGGCCGAAGCCGAGGAAGCAGCCGAGAGAAAGTGCCGAGAGGGCCGTTATAGCTTGCCTCCTTGCTCGGACTCGGGTTGTGAGTGTGGCTCTTGTGACTCGGAGGAAGAGGATGGCGTGGAGGATGCGAGTGCTGAGGCGCGTGGTGCCTGATCTTGCTGAGATGGGCTGGGCTGGGCTGGGCTGGGCTGGGCTGTGGTGGGTGGGGTTTTTATTGATATTGGCTCAATAGGAAGCATGAAATTGGATGAGAGCCAAGTCATTCAACATATTATTGCTCGTCAATGGGAAGATGATAAAATACGTAAAACTTTACAATGAAATTCTGAAGTAGAACCGAGTAATGGATCTGATAAAACTATTACTTACTTGCTTGCTTGTGAGTTTTCCGCTGTTGACTGATACAAATACCGTCTAGTCTCTTGACATCTTCCAAAGTCTGTTATCGGTAATGTTAATAAAGATATCATTCACGAACGGCGGCTTAATCTGTGTATTCGCCATGAGATGAGATGAGATGAGATTGAAGAAATGTACATGTGTCTACCTACCCGATCGTCTTTACACGTGTATGCGCCGGGCTGTTTTGTCGCGTGTGGGTGTAAACAGTGAGTGAATCAATGGCACGTGTGTTTCCCCCTTCGTTATGGGTTGGGTACCTAGGATGTGCGAGGTTATTCCTCGCACGGTTGAGTATCGCGAGGGGGCCAAGGAAACAATAGACTAGACTTTGGTGTTTTCTTTTTCTGTGTCTATTATGGTATTTCGTCGGGTGGGTGTAATGCAATATCCTCCCACCACAGACCGCGTGCCTCATCCGAGCGCGCCCGGCCCCAGGTATTTCTCCAGATCCTGGTTACCAAACAGCTGCTGGTGTATCCGTTCGGCCTTGCGCTTGTCCTTTCGTGCCTGCTTCCTGACCTTTCCGGCGTCGAGCAGCCGCTCCTTTTTCTCTCGGGGCGGCGGTAGGTTCTTGGGCACGTGGATGCCGACTCCCAGGTTGTTGTATTTGGGCGTGGCCTTGACCGGGAATGTTATGCCTTGCTCGGCGGCACCGAGTCCCTTTCTAGAGTCTGGGTCCCATCCGTATTGTGATAGATAGGACAATCCCATTCTTGAACGGTCAAGGGCCGACGGCGGGTATGAGTGCGGGAGACAGACCTGGTGGGCAAATGAGTTTTCATGCACCTTTCCCCCGTCTTTCTTGCTGCTGCTGCTGTTGCCATCATCCACGTCGCTGGATCCAGCTGGTGCTGGTTCTGACTCTAGAGGCAGCCTGCAGACCTCGCAAATGGCAGCACCTGTTTCCCCTACTTGGACAGCTTCGTTTGCGGTCTTGTTGTCTTTTGAGAGAACCATGCTGAGATACAGGTCTGCTACATCAAGCTGCTTGGGCTTTGCGGCAGTATTAACGTGGTCCGTCGAGTTGAGGCAGCCATCGCTGGCGGATGCTGGGACAAATGCCACCGTCTTTCTGTGGAGTCCGCTCCCAAACGGGCGCTTGTGCTGGAGCGGGATCTCATCGTAGTCGTCATCGGCATCGGCATCGACGTTGACATCGACATCGACGGTACTCCCAGCCGGTGTGTCCATGTGAGAATGGGGGGTGGAGGTGATCCCGCGGGAGTTTTTGCTTTACCAGTTTACCAACCTAAGCTCACGAAATAGTTCTTGAAGGCGAGGTGGCCAGGCAGCAACGACAGCTAATATGGTGAGGCGGGTGTGCACCTTCCAGATTGCCTCCCGTGTAAGATGCAAAGGAAGGTGGGGCAAAAGATGAGTCGACATCAAAGGTGAATTAAAGTCGGTGCTAGCCCGTAAGGCTAGTTCGAGGTTCCAGTTGGTGTCTATGCGGCTCTTCCAGTGGAGTGGGGCCGCTAATTTCGGCCCCTGACTGCTGAGGCAGGGCGGTGACGTATCACCCGCCCTAGCTGCAGCTGGAGCCCAGTCTTGTCGCCAACCTGAGACCGAGTTGAACAGGTAAGGCACGACGATGGACCAACCCAATTGAAGCTCGTACCTTCCTTGCCGTAAATGCCGTATTCCATAAACCAAATTCTAAGCATTTCCAAGCTTCGGACACATTTTCGGTTGAGCACTGTTCACAAACCCGAAACGCCAAATTCAGGTGCCTACCGACAGACATGCCGTCATAAACGTGCACACACACACACACACACAGCAATGCCTCTCCCGTTCCTCGCTCATGTCTTCTTCGAGGGCGCGCCGTCGTGGGTGCCCGACCCGTGGCTCATGCTCAAGGTGGGCAGCGCTCTCGGGGCCGTGGCGCTCACCAAGCGGTACTTCTCGGGCGCGGTCAACCTGACGGACCGGAACCTGCACGGGCGCGTCGTCCTGATCACGGGCGGCACGTCGGGCATCGGGGCCGTGACGGCGTACGAGCTGGCCCGCCGCGGCGCCCAGATCGTGCTGCTCACGCACCTGCCCCAGACGGACCCGTTCCTGGTCGACTTCATCGACGACATGCGCGAGCGGTCCGAGAACGATCTCATCTACGCCGAGACGGTCGACCTGAGCTCGCTGCACAGCATCCGCCTGTTCGCCACCAAGTGGGTCGACAACGCCCCGCCGCGCCGCCTCGACAGCATCATCCTGTGCGCCGCCACCCTCACCCCGCCCGGCTCGCCGCGCGCCGAGACCACCGAGGGCATCGAGACTACCTGGATGGTTAACTACCTGGCCAACTTCCACCTGCTGGCCATCCTGAGCCCCGCCATCCGCGCCCAGCCCTTCGACCGCGACGTGCGCATCGTCATCCCCACCTGCTCCGCCTACATCGCCTCGCCGCCCCTGGACGCCGTCATCAAGAACAGCGAGTGGTCCGCGAGTACCGCCTACGCCCGGAGCAAGCTGGCCCTGATGGTCTTTGCCAAGGCCTTCCAGAAGCACCTGGACGCCTACAAGCGCCCCGACGAGATGCCCATGAACGCCCGCGTGGTCCTGGTCGACCCGGGCTTCACCCGCACGCCCGGGTCGAGGCGCTGGCTCTCGCGCGGGTCGCTGTGGGGCATCGTCGTCTACCTGGTGCTCTACGTGTTCGCGTGGATCTTTATGAAGAGTGCCGAGATGGGCGCGCAGTCGCTGCTCTTTGCCGTCATGGACGGCGGCCTCCTGCGCATCCCCGGCGGCCAGCTGATCAAGGAGTGCATGCGGGTCGACTTTGCGAGGAAGGACGTCACGGACGAGGCGGTGGCCAAGACGCTATGGGAGTCGAGCGACAAGCTGATCGAGAAGACGGAGAAGGAGCAGGCCGAGAAGAGGGCAAAGGCGAAGAAGGAAGAGGGGGAGAGGGAGAAGAAGGCTAAGGAGGAGGCGACGGCGGCCGAGCGGCTCGAGGAGATCGAGTCGCTGCTGAATACCATCAAGAAGGGGAAAGCGAAGGACGCGCAAAAGGGCAAGAAGCCCAAGCCATCCTCGAAAGCTGTCAAGTAGGCAGGCATACATGCAGATTTCTCTTGTTGGTGTATAAAATAATGATGTTTCAAGTTGTCTAATCTTGGCGTGTATGTGTGTGTGTGCGAGAGAGAGAGAGGTGAAAGGGGAGGGACCTTCCAATATCCTGGCGCTTGGAGTAATACTAATAATCAAGCCAGCTAGGACGAATCTATCTACACGGGACATAAACCATCTTGCTTCTGGCGGCCATTATGGCCGTAGCCGCGTTTTCTTCAAGCAATGAACTGTTCAGGACTTTCATTGAAGACTGGTAAGTAGACCGTTCCCGAGGCAAGGATATACATGGTTTGTATTGCAAAGGATACCGTAGTGGACAATGAAAGCAATACTTACCTTGAGGCAATAAACAAAATCTCAGCAGTAATTGCTCACATGTTTGGTTATAGCTCACGTCCATAGAGTGAGTGATGAGAACGACAAACTTGAGAAAACATCAAGGCTATCTCGTCTATCCTTGAGAGAAAAAGGGTGAGAGATTCAAGGACAAGAAGAAGGAAAACAAAAAAGAAGTGGCACAGAGACGAATCGAACCCTATAACCATGAAGCCACCTCCTTACCTATACATAAAAAACTACACAAGATTCGAAGAGAGCATTAAAAAAGACAAAAAGACAAAAAGAAAAGACACAAAGACGGATCGAACCCGATTGCTAGAGCCGGGATTTGCACCCAGGTTTCCGCCTTTGCCAATAATATGGGAGGGCGACGAGTTAACTACTACTCTACTCCAGCTTCGCACACTGCACACTAGACCACCGTGCCGAGAAATCCGTCTCCGTTGCTTTTGATTTAAAGAGCTTGGTAAACAAGGGGAATAAACCCCGACCGACCTAACTACCTGACCGACCTGACCGGGATTACTTGCAAACAAACATAAACGGGGAGCGGCAGAGTGGCGGTGAGTAAAGGATGGTAATAACAATGCTCTGGGGCCTACCTACCAGGTAATCTGGGAGTTATTGTTTGTATACTTGTTTGTCTGCTTCCTTGCTTCTTCGTACCAAGCCAAGTAAAAGTCAGGGGGACGCGTTTTGCCTGAGTGCAGATACGCGTACGTATAATGATACATCACCGGGTGTAATCATTGAAAGCATTGGAATAAGTTAATCAATGCAAAGCAGCATAGCGGATGCATGTGGTCTTTATTACCCAAGAGCTACCTTACCTAGTATCAACGTGTCTATGCAGGTGATAAGCTCTGAGAGACCTCCCGTGTGTGCAACGCAAAGTAAACACAGAAAAGAACGAAAAGTGTTATTATCTTGAATGGGTCATCAACTTTGCTTCCTACCCACTTAATTGAGCCTCGCACAACAACAACAACAACAACAACAACAACAAACTCATACCTTCTTGTATACAGACACCACCAGCAGTATCGTTCACACAAACGACGTAGCCAAGTCCATTATATAAAAGGCATTGATTCCAATACACCATGTACCTCAACAATGACTCGCCAGACTCGTAAGATAACGACCCTTAGTATATGCACACAGACACACACAAGATCCGACACAAATATACAGGCGGCTATGGTACCACGTCACCGCCATCAATCCGACTCTGGCTTCAACGATGGGACGGACCCAACCAACCCAGACACCCTCACCCCGGGGAATAATATACTATATCAAAGCAGATCCCATGTTTCGCCTCGCCGCGCATGCAAAACGGAAAATGGTGACGTGACCATCAAGGCTCGATCGGTCGAACAAACAAAACAGCTACCTCCACGCTTCGAGACCCATCATCCCTTCATCGCATCGCATCATATCCAGCTTCAACACCTTCAAACGCGTCCCTCGATCAGCCCAGCGCTCGTACATGGACCTCTCGTATCTTCATATATAAGGTAGGTATATATCCCATTATCACGGCCGTCGTACACAAGCCGGCGCCCCTCTCGGCACCGGACCCTCATCAGCTCCCAGTCAGCTTCTTCCACCAGCTGCTCCTCGGGGTGGTATCCATAAACATCGAGTTCCTCCTGCTGTCGCGCTTCCCATCGCTCCCGTCCGAGCCGCCACGCGCGGTGCCACGTTCTCGGTCTCGTTCTCGTTCCCGCTCTTCTCTCCGCCTTCTCCGCCGGCGCTCTTCTTCGGCGTCCTCACCTGCCACCTCAATCTCGGCATACTTGGATCGTCGTCTGGCGCGGCGCGCCTCACGCCGCGCCTCTTCGTCATCGGCCGCCTGGGGTGGTGGTGGCGGCGGCGGCGGTGGCGCGACCACGTCATCAGGGTTCTCGACGGGCGGGGGTGGAGCATCAGAGTGATCCTTGACCCACGACGACGTGCCGGAATGGGGCCACGAATCCGTCTTTATCATGCGCGATTTGCTGGGATAGACGAAATCGTCCGGTTGCTCAGATCTGCGGCGCGAAGACCGCTCCTTATCCCTCCCGCTGCCGCTGGCCTCGGCCTCCCGTGCAGCGCGCCGAGCCTCCCGGCGGCGCTGGCGGTCTTCGTCTTCATCGCGATCGGCTTGGCCGGCTGGCGGCTGGCTGCGCCGGCGTTCGTGTCTGGCAGCACGGCGGGCTTCGATTTCTGCCTCAGCCGCCTGGCGCTCAGCGCGCAGTCTGCGTCGTTCCGAGCGTTCGGCTTCTTTCTGTTCGGCAGCGAGTCGGGCTTCCTCCTCGCGCTGGCGCAGGGCCCGGCGCTCGGCACGCCGGGCTTCCTTTTCTTCTTGGCGGCGTGCCTCGTCTTCTTCTTCTTGCTTCTTGCGGCGCTCGCGACGGGCCATGTCCTTGGCACGGCGAGCCTCCTCTGCTGCCCGCTCTGCCGCCTCTTTTTCGGCGCGGCGAGAGCGACGGGCAGCACGGCGGGCTTCCCGCTCGGCGTCCGTCATGGGGGTATCTTCCCCTACGTGCCTGGTTGCCTCATCTTCGGTGCCCGTGTACGTGTTGCGGCGCCGCGGTGGCTCGGGGCGCGCATCTGGCTTTGGCGTGAAGACGCCGCCAAAGAGAGACGTGAAGCCCGAGGGTGCTTTCTTGGCGCTCGAGTTCGACCGCTTGAGAGGGGGGCGCGAGGGTGTCGCGTCAGCCATGTCGACCATGACAATGTCGTCGTCTCTAGTGTATTGCTGTTTGGAGGGGTGACGGGTCAGCATACGGCCTGTTGCAGCGCAGGAGGGTGAGCCTACCTTTGATCTCCGACGCGCCGACCTATCTGGACCAGGTGTCACATCGGCGGCGCCAACCATGACAATATCGTCGTCCTCGTCGGCAGCTGGGACAATGTTAGCAAGCTGGGCTTTGGAGCAGTGGTGTCGCGGAATCTCTCGTTTTGCTTACGCTTCTTGTTGCTGCGCTTGCTTGCTGACCTTGAAACAGCGGCAGCGGCAGCGACACCGACGCCGACGCCGAGAATCTTGGCTGCTTTGGCTGACATGTCTGCCATCTCGGGGGGCGGGCTGATGATGCCGTTCTTCATGTCCACCGACGCCCTGCGCGAGCTCGACTTGCCGCTGGCGCTGCGCTTGAGAGGAGCAGGCGTGGAGCGCGATAGCGGCGGCGTGCTCGCAAACACGCTGGCGAAGCGCGACGCCGAGGGTGTCTCCTTGGCGCGGGCTTTCTCGACCTTGTCGGACTGCGAGCCCTTTGACGACGTCTTCTCCGCCTTGTCCTTGTCCCTGTCTCTGTCCTTGTCCTTGTCGCTAGATGACGATGTCTTTTTTCTGGCGCTGGATTCCTTCTCGGGCTTGGACCTCGACGACGACTTCTTGGGGTCCTTGGTGGGCGTCGCTGACCACATGCCCCATGACGAGCCTTCGCGGTTGATCTTGGGACGCTCCTTCTTGGATGGCTTGAGCTCAGTCGAAGAGGTCAACGGCGCATCGGGAACGGCGGGAGGCGGCGGCGGGACAACAGGCGGGGGAGGGGGCGGCGGCGGCGGCGGCGGCGCAGCGTCGACGACGACCTGGGGGGAGGCCGAAGACCTCTTGGACTTCTTGCCGGCTTTCTTCGGGGGCGCCATGTCGATGATGTCGACTATCTCGTCATCGTCGTCAAGCGGGAATGCGCCGGGGAGACCCGAGTCGGCCGATCGGTTGTACGTGGGACGAGAGAAGTTGGCAGGGGGCGGCGGGGGCGGCGGGGGCGGCGGAGGAGATGCCACTGGAGAAAAGGTCGCAAAGTCGTCGAAGCTGGCTTCTCGCGCTCGTTCTTTTTCCTTGGCCGCCTTGTCCTTGTCCTTGCTCTTCTTGCTCTTCTTTTTATCCTCCTTGGGCGGTGGCGCAACGACAGCGGGCGGCGGCGGTGGCGGCGGCGGAGGTGGTGGCGGCGAATCGTCAGCGTCCTCGTCGGGAGACCTGTAGTGGTTGCTGTAGTCGTTGGTGTAGTCGTTGGTGTACTCTTTATTGGTGTAGTCGTTGTCGTTGTCGCTGAGGTCGCTGATCTGGTACTGCTGGTACTTGGTCTCCTTTTCCTTGACGGGCTCGAATGCTTTGAGACGGTCAGCAATCTTGCCGCCCACCGCCTTCTTGGACGCCGACGACGGTTTCATGGACTTGCTGGTGGTGGGTGTGGCTGTGTCAGCGTCCTCGGTGTACGGTGAGGTGGTCTTCCACACCTCGGTGGCCGCAAAGGCGAAGACGCCACCCGCGCCAATGGCCGCGTCGCTGGGGCTGGCACTGGCATTGGACGCTTCCAGAAGCCTGGATGACTTGGACTTGCTCTTGGACGATGACTCAGCCTTTTTAATCTCCGGCGATGCCTGCGAGTGTGACGTCCATGGGTCAGATGCTGGCACCACCGGTACCGAGCCCTTTTTGGACTTTGCCCCGGCCTTTTTGGACGCCCCCCAGAAGCTAAAGGGGTCGTCGGCCGCGGGCGCGGGAGATGCTGCCGCCGGCGCCGGGGCCTCGACAGCGACGCCGCCGTCCCGGTCCCGGTCCTCGGCCAAAAGCTCTTCAATCTCCTCGGCCGTGAGGTCGATGCCCTTGAGCTCGTCGTTATTGTCGTCATTGTCGTCCGCCGCCATCTTGGCCATTTCCTTTTCCTTTTCCTTTTCCTTTTCCTTTTCCTTTTCCTTTTCCTTTTCCTTTTCCTTGGCCTTCTCCTTCTCCTTCTCGGCCGCCTTTGACCCCTTCTTGGACTTCTTCTTGCCGCCGGCGCCTTCAGCCTCCTTCTCTTTTTCTCTCTCCTTCTCCCTCTCCCTCTCCCTCTCTTGCCATTCGCGTTCTGCCGTCTCCTCGGCTTCTCGGATTGCCTTCTCCTCCGCTTCTTGAATCTGCGTCTCGAGCTCGCGCATCTTGGCCAGGTCCTGCTCCCGCTCCTCAGCCTCGCGCTCCGCCTTTTCCTCGGCGCGTTTGTTGATGCTTGCCGTGAGCCGGTCGAACTTTTCTTGGTCGCTCTTGCCCAGCTTCTTCTTCTTGGTCTTCTTTGCCGCCAGTGTTGCGAGCTCGTCTTCCTCCCGGGCAATGTCGGCAGCCTCCGAGTCTTTGCGTTCTCGCTCTTCGGCCTCGAGCCGCTCCAGCTCGTCGATCTCGCGCTGCAGCCGCTCCTCCTCCTCGCGCTCTGCTTGCTCTTCCGCGTCGCGCCGGGCTTGCTCCTCGGCCTCTTCGGCCTCCTTGGCTTTCCGCTTCTCCTCCTCCTTCTCGGCCTTCTTCTTTTCCTTCTCCAGCTTCTCGAGCTCCTTCTTGCTCAGCTTGGGCTCCTTGTCTTTGGACTTCTTGTCCTTTTCCTTTTCCTTTTCCTTCTCCTTGGACTTGGTCTTGGTCAGAGTGAGGCTGAG